GGATGGATGGATGGATGGATGGATGGATTTTTACTTTATTTGTGCTTTAATTCTTGCAGGTATTTTCAGTCTGTGTCCTGTGAGTCTGGTTGTCTCTGGGTTGAAGGCACAGCTATTTCTGAGTCTTGCTGAATTAAAAAAGATATGTTGACTATAACTAAAGCATATTGATTTCCTTTTAAACTTTCTGGTAAACTTTGAGATATACATGCATGTTGCATATCCCAGTAAATCTGTTCCACCCTAAACTCTGTAGCCTTCCCTGCTTGTGTCTCTGCCCTGCTTTATGAACTTGGCCGTGGATCCCAGAGAGAAAAAAGGATAATGGCTGATGAGAAAAAAGGATTTAAAGAAGAATGATCCGAATCATTTGCTTCCATTATCAGTGAGGAAGGATTGCCTGCATTTTTGCTTTATAATGAGAGGTTAGCAAAAAATAAAAAGAATCATTTAAAAAAGCATTTCCAGGGAAGGTTAAATCTGCAGGAGGGAGAGAAAAAGTGAGATTGCAGAACTTCTGGATAAATTAGAGGAGAGCAAAGATAGATTTAAGAAGTAGATTGCATCTCCAAACTCCACTACTGCTGCTAGTTTGGTTGCAAGGATAGAAAAGTGTTCATAGATCCAACAGGTTGCGCTCTGATGCAGGGATGGAAACACATTGTCCTCTCCTATTGTGGTCTAATACGCTTGGAGCCCGTGTTGCCTTACGAGGCTGATAGAAGACTTTTACATTTTTGCAGCTCCGGACAGATTTACTTTTTGTTTTTTTGGTCCACTGTGGCTCTTTAAGCAGTTTGGGTCGCTGACCCCTGGGCTAGGTAGTCCCTTCTGGGGGAGTAAAGAAACACCATTCCATGTTTTTCCATTTGTGAACAGTGGCTCTCTCTCTGCTCTGTCCTTGTTTCTCAAGTCAAGCCCAAACAAAGGCCTCCATGAGTTCTTCTGAGCAGAAACAAGGCAGCGACATCCTCTCACTTTGAAGGAACAGCAGCTTTACTTCAGGCTGAAGGACCTTTTCCCTTATTAACCTGCAGAAGCTTGTTTTGGACAATTGGTGAATCCAAATCTCTCTATTTTTCCCATAATGACTCCAGTAAGGATGGAGGCTGAGCTCCAGCCTGAGGGAAGTGTCATTTCTGTAGAACCATGGAGAGCAACATAGGAGCACCATCTGCATTTATCAGTGTGATGATTAAAGAGGGTTAGGGTTAACCCTAACCCTCTTCAAAGCAAGTGTTGGTTCTAATAGGTCAATTAAAATGTGAAGCAATTTGCCTTTTATCATTTCTGCTCTCATCCTTCCAGCCAAAGAGCCAGAGTCATTTAAGGCTTCTACCTGCTGCAGGTTCTGTCTGTGTTGGACCCACAATCTGACCCAAACACCATTACAACCTTTCATTTAAACAATAAGCTGCTCTCTGAGGACACAATGAGATCTTTGCATTGGAGGATATTAAATAAGAGAATATTGGTGATTGGCTGCAGTACGTTAAAATGAATGAGGTACACCGTTTTTCATCAGTTCTAAGGATCTTTATTTCAGCAGCGTCCAAATAGTTTGAAACAGGAAGGAACCAGAAATCCAAACAAATTCAAGCCGGATGAAGCAGCTGTTAGCTCAAGCTAACAGGAAATGTTTGCTAGCTAACACGGTCCACGGTACCAGGAACTGTTTTCAGCGAGAACCCAGATGTTTGGATATTTTTACACTCATTAATCAAACTTTTTAATTCAGATCCAATTAAAAGTCAAATGAAAATCAAACGGTGTGAAAAAAGGAGTTTATTCCTGCTTTAAATTCACTACTGTTCACCTGAACTAAATGATGTTAAAATAAGTTTCCAACAAATCAATTCAGTTATTTTGCAGCTTTCATTTCCCCTAAAGAAGAAAAGATTTGTAAGGATGAAATCTGAATATGACAGAAATGCAGAATCTATTAGCAGTTGGTCCATTTTGCTTCCTGTCATAAAGTGCTTTCTTCTGCTGATTCTTTCTAAGATCATTCGGACACAAAGTGGAATAAACAGTAAAGCAGACGGTTTACAGACTTTCACATAAATATTATACTTACTGTTGCTGAACAGCAAAATACTGCAGCAGATATTGCACAAAAACAAATTAAATAAAGTGACAGAAAATGGATGGATGCTTTTCCTTCAAGTAAGACAAATAAAATCCTTCCTACAGTGTTTGAACAAACAGTGATTATCAGGAACACACATTAATGCTAATAAATTCCAGTGAAATGTGCAGATCCGTGTCGACCTGCCGTCTGAGCAGGAAACTCTGCAGATTAGAGTGAATCCTGCAGCAGGTCAAGGCGAGAAACATGCGACAGGAAGCCGTGGAGCATCTCCAACCCTGATGATCATCACACTGATGCCTGATTGGCCGTCTGTGTGATGATCAGCACACTGACGCCTGATTGGCTGTCTGTGTGATGATCATCACACTGACGCCTGATTGGCCGTCTGGGTTCTGGACTGTTTGACTTTCAGAATTCACAGAAAGGAAGTGGAATAAATCAGGCAGTCATCGCCTAAACAGGACAGACTTTTCTCAATCACATCAGCAAAACTCGGATTATTCTGGACTTCATCACAAACATAGATGTAGTTTCTAGATATTCTTTGGATTATTCTGGAAATCGAATCGACCTTTCAGACGGAAACTCAAATGTTTTTATCGGATCAGTTTTTTCTTCACCAGACCAACAGAAACTGGAAGGGTTTAAAAACCACCAGCAGGAGTCGCTGCTGAGCGGCTCCACTGTGTTTGGCTCGGACGCCATGAGACCAACAGTTCTTCCTCATCATCATCATCATCATCATCATGACGTCTCCCTGAGATCCAAGGACCTCCATGTTCTATCCACCATGCTTCATGCTCTGCTCTCTGGGTCACCAAGGTCAGAGGGCGGCGCTGGAGATGGAAGCGACCATGAAACCAGCGGGACAAATGATTGGCTGTCATGGCTGCCATGGCAACAAGCTTTTTCTGCTAAACCTGAACTGCTGTTCTGCTCCTGGGGCTTCATGTGTCCCCCTGAACCAATAAAAATTTCCTCTTTCTGAACCGGATGAAATGCAGACTGTCAGAGTTCTAGATAGAAACATGGCTGATAGATTATAAAGAAAAAAAGTTTCCTCTTTATTAATTTTCATAATAAACGAGAAAAAAACTTTTCAATCTTAAAAGCAGAATCGTCTGTTAATGTCTGAGCAGCCAAATAAAATGTTTGGATGAAGCTGCAGTTTTTCTCCTTAAATTTAAAACAATTAAACTTTTTGGTCTCTGACGTCTTTCTGCTTCATTTATTCCAGCAACAGTCCAAAACCCAGAACATTGGTTTCCGTTCTAAAGCTGACCCTGAAGCTGACCCTGAAGCTGACCCTGAAGCTGACCCTCACCCTGAAGCTGACCCTGAAGCTGACCCTAGCCCTGAAGCTGACCCTGAAGCTGACCCTAACCTTGAAGCTGACCCTGACCCTNCCCTGAAGCTGACCCTGAAGCTGACCCTAACCTTGAAGCTGACCCTGACCCTGAAGCTGACCCTCACCCTGAAGCTGACCCTGAAGCTGACCCTAACCCTGAAGCTGACCCTAACCTTGAAGCTGACCCTAACCCTGAAGCTGACCCTAACCCTGAAGCTGACCCTAACCTTGAAGCTGACCCTGACCCCTGAAGCTGACCCTCACCCTGAAGCTGACCCTGAAGCTGACCCTCACCCTGAAGCTGAACTTTTTTTCCATCATCCAACTTTTCTGTTCTCCATCTTTGTTGCATATTGAATGTGGAGCTGCAGGTCATCGCTGATAGATGTTAGAAACTCCTGGAAGTTTCTCCAATTTAGGTCTACAGCTGATAAAATGAAGTGGGAAGTTCTTCTTCCAAAGGATTTCTAAGATTTTTCTGTATGGTCATACAAGAAAAACGTTTCAGTGATAAAGGTTAACCTTTGACCCCTCTCAACCCTGAGGGAGCATCTCCATGAAGAGCAGATCGGACTTCCTCAGGTCTGCAGAGAAGAAGATGGACGGCAGGCAAAGGCTCACGGATCAGAGGGACCAGGAAGTGGGAGCAGCAGTTCAAAGTTCAACATCTTCCCATCAGTGAGCAGCTCAGACTTACGGGGGGGGAGGGGCTCAGTGGGCGGAGCCTCAGTGGCTCTTTGGTTTGGGGAGACGAGATGATCCAGAACTGAAGATTTTAAGCTTATGCCCTGAAGACCCGCCTTCTTCTGACCGCGTGGAGCTGTGAGACAGGAAGAGGCGGAGCTTGGAGGGCTGCAGGGTTTTCATCTCTCTCCTCTGCCGGTTTCCACCATCTGCTGCTCTTGGGGTGAAGACGGGGGCGTTTATGGACCTCTGGGACGGAGGGAGCCCATCGGCAAGCGTTTCAGGGGGGGCGGGGTCGCTGGAAGGAGCTACAGGGTTCCTTAGTGGTTCCGGCTCTTCCTGCTTAGAGGAGTGAAGTACTTGTGACTGAAAACAAGAAAAACAAAAAACTGTTTTAGGTTTTCAGCAGCTGCTGAAAATGTTCTGACCTAAAAGCTCTGAACCCGTTCCCCATTAGCACCCGAGCAAACCAACGCTTTGATCATCACTGATCAGATGTTGGAGGAGCCAAAGCAGTTTGACTGGTCTGTCTGTAGAGAGCCGTTTCCTCTCTGATTTATTCAGCGAGCAGAAGCTCCGCATCAGAAGGAAACAAACAAAAGGTGCGTCTGCAGCAAACTGGTTTCCAACATCCTGAAAACTGGTTGGAAACGGAACATGGTTTTAACTGGACCAGCATCAGAAACAAAGAGTTTTCCTCGGAACGCTCTACTTTTTTAATTAAAGATTCACCGATACCTGGAAAATCTTGGAATACGATTCCAGACTTTTCCAGTCATCAAACCAGAGATATGGAAACAGACTACAATCATTTCAGACAGAAGTATCTCTAAAAGAAGCATTTGTTCAAATATGAATCAGTAAAGAAAGATGATAGATCCGCTGCATGTTCACACCAAGAGTAAACAGCAGCAAACATCTGGATGTTATCACCAGGATAACAAAGACGAAGACCAAGGAGATGATGGTGGACTTCAGGAAGAAGCGGCCTAACCACGCTCCACTGCTCATCAACAGCTCAGCTGTAGAGGTGGTCAGCAGCACCACATTCATCACAGACACCCTCACCTGGACTGGAAACACCACCTCACTGGTCCAAAGGGCCCAGAAGCGCTTGGACTTCCTGCCCCCCCCATCCTCCCCACCTTCTCCAGAAGCACCATAGAGAGCGTTCTGAGCAGCTGTCTCACTGTGTGGTGTGGAGGCTGCAGCGCCTCAGACTGGAAGAAGGTGAGAACAGCAGAGAGGATCATGGGGGCTCCTCTTCCCTCCATTAAAGACATTTCATCCCAGCGCTGCGTGTCCCGAGCCCGTGACATCATCAATGACCCCCCACCCCCCCACCATGGACTGTTCTCCCTGCTGCCCTCTGGGAAGAGGCTTCCCAGCATTCAATGCAGGACCAGCAGGTTCTGCAGCAGCTTCTTCCCCACCATATCTGCACCATAAATATTAATGCTCTGAACTTCCATATCCATTCATTTTTTTTGCACCATGTTTCTTCTCTCACACTGTTTACATTTGATCACTCCTGCACTATGGAAATGGAAATGTCATTAAAGCTGTACTACACGAAATGTCCTTTGTTTTTGTTTCCACTCTGTGGAAACAAAATGACAATAAATAGCAATAGATAGTTTTCTACGTCTCAGGATAACCTGCTGAAGCGCCGCAGCAAAAACCAGAACATTGACTGGCCAACACTGACATCTAGTGTTCTGAAGAGGAACTGCTGATTGTTGATCCTCATTAAAAAGGAAGAGAAGGAGCAGAAATGGTGAGATGGAGTTATATGAGCCTCCAGTCTCTCTAGGTTCTTCCTGATGGAGACAGAGAGCCGTCTACCCCAGGAGGACAGGTAGAGCACTGATGTTCCTCCATGATGCATCATCAACAATAGTCGTCTTGTTTGGTTCCTCAAGGAGCTTCCACATGATTCTAATGGAGTTCTGCAGAGCTAGTTTCTCACAGACACAGATAATGACACCAAAAACCCTGTTTATGGTGCAATTGGATGGATATATTAATAATCAATAATAATTGAACTTTATTGATCTCACATTGGAGAAATTTCCTCTCTGCATTTAACCCCTCCCCTTGGGGAGCAGTGAGCAGCCATTGTGTGGCTCCTGGGGAGCAGCGAGGGGTTAGGGGTCTTGCTCAGGGAGCCAGAGTGGAGGATGTGGGGATCAAAACCGGGTACTGCAACCTTCTCAGAGCACAAAGCGCTGCTCTGACCACCAGACCAACACTCACCTAAGACACGAGACACGGAGGACAGAGGAGGGTTCTACTCTGAAGGACTTCAGGCTCAAACTGTTTATCTAATGGTACCAGATTTAAAAAAAAATTCAAACCTCATTTAAATCAAGTTTAGCAAATTCAAAACCCACCAGCATCATCCCAGACTCTACAGTCCTTAGCTGGTAACCAACAGGCTCATGAGAAGACGAGGAGGAAGAGGAAGAGGAAGGGTTCATGGAGGGTTCAAAGATTGAAGCCTCTTCCCCAAAAGAAGCTATAACCTAACCCTAGCTAGAAATGTTTGATGCTAATTGGACAGTCGCTACTGACCCGGGGAATTTGATCATTATGTTTTAGGACTTTGATGGACGGACAGAATATATCCATGTTATCTCAGCTATGATGACCGACGTGTTCATCATTCATCTGTAGAGTTAAGAGAAGACCAAAGACGCGAGTCGATGCTAATCTCCAGTTTAAACCGGAGACACTTTTTTGCTCCATCTGCCATTCTAGGAACAATTGGATTGGACGGATTATCAGCTCCTTGATGGAAACAGGACAAACAAGTGAAACACCCGAGGAGCAAAGTCCTAAAAAGATCGGAAAAGTTCTGACAAAATCAAAAACGATTCCCAGAAATCAGACTAGATTCCCAGGAGAAGAACCTGAATCAACCAGTTCAGATTAAATAATCCTCAGAGTTGAAGCCACCTTTGACCCGATTACTGGAGAGCGCTGGTCCCCATCTGCTGATGGGAACCAGTATAAAAGAACTAAGGAAACAGTGAGATGGAGGAGAGGAGCTACCGTACCACGCCGTGTCACTGAAGTAAAGCACCAGATCTTCCACTCCTGAACGGAAGCGTGAAGAAGAAACACAGAAGAGGACAGGAGGAGGAACAATTAGAGGAAAACAGAAAACACGCATTTTACAACATTTTGATTGACAGAAGAGGTTTCCTGAATTAGGAGAACATTCTTCAAAATGTCTGAAGGTCTTCAGATTGATTCTTCCCTTTTGTTACAGTGGAATGTTTTCTTTCAGCATCGGGTTTTTGGAGCATCAATCATTCAGGCAGAGGATGAACAGCCTGACCTCACAGCAGCTTCAACTTTTTATAAAAGGTCAGAATTAGAGAGAAGATTCAGAGAAATGCTGTTAGTCTGATAATGCATCCCTCAGTTCCTACATTTAGATCCTGGTTATCATCAGAGGAAACCTCCTTCCGAAAACTTAAGGCCACTGCACAGAAAGAGGACCAGGAAGCTGAAGGAGATCATAGAGGCTTGGAAAGAAATCAGGGATAAGTGGGAATTTCTGCACTTCATCAGGTTTCCTGTAGTTAGTGAAACCTTTACTTAAGAAACCGTCTCTTGACCCAGATGACTTGGTCAATTATAGACCTATATCCAATCTTCCAAAAGTGATGGTGTGCGATCACTTCCACCATAATGAACTTTTTGAAGAGTTTCAGTCTGGCTTTAGAGCTCATCATAGCACTGAAACAGCTCTGGTGAAAGTCACTAATGATTTTCTCATGGCCTCAGATAATGGACTTGTACCCGTGCTCGTCCTGTTGCATCTTAGCGCTGCATTTGA